CGCGATACCGGTGCGATGCTCTACCAACTGAGCTATGAAGCCACACATTGGGAGCGAGGTCAATTTATTGAGTTGATATCTTCCCGTGAGGAGTGAAATGATGTGAAGTTTATATGAAATAATTCATATATGAAATATTCATTCAGGCTTCTTCTTTCCAATTGCTTAAATTGGAAAATTTACTGCGATGATCATCCTTCACTTTCTTTTAAACGAAGACTATACTGGCACACCGGTGGAGAGGGGTTACACCCAGAAAAATTGGGTGGGAGTGTGTGGCCCGCTTCCCAAAACCCTTACGCTATTTAAGACCAAACTTTGCGATTTTCCCTACCCTTTTTATGACCTAACCAAAAATTCGACACCCGATTTATGACCTGACCCTTTAATCGATACCCTGTTTCAGACCTGTCTTATCAGTAATTTCTTCTCTAGCTCAGACCGATGTTAAAGGCATTGTGAATGGCTTTTGTTGATGGCCTTATCGATAATGACGAAAAAGTAGCTTCTTCTAAAAAAACATACCCAATTCAAGACTAGAGTGCAAAACCAATGCCCTATCTGAGACCAAAATGGCCAAAATCGTTACCCTATTTGTGACCAAAAGGGCTAAAAAGACCATACCCTTTGGGGCCGCATTTACATATATAGCCCATATGAGTACCTCTCCCCCCGGGTACTGACAGTAATTAAGAAATCTAACCGTCGTCTTTATTTAGGCAACACTTCAGTGCTTATAAGTGTTGATGGCTTCCACTTTTCCTTTAATATTATCAGACAGGTCAAAGTCCACTTATGTTGGCTGTCAGCCGAGGGAGAATGGAAATGGTCGAGCTTACTTTGGAGGCTGGGGCCGACATCAACGCAACAGATGAAGTAAGTCATGAAAAATCTCGTATTTTTGACATCTCAATTTAGTTCGCATTCTCTGTAACCTACTTCCCAGCCTCATTCCATTCACTGTAGCCGTCGGACTGTTAAGGTGATGCCTCAGAAATAAAAGTTGCCGAACTATTTTTTTGAATATTTCCGTGAATGTTCCCTACCAAGCACTGTTTCGAAAATTACAATAAAAAGGATAGGTCACCATGGTCTTAAGAGATGTGATGGGTCAATCTTACCACATTTATGCCTTTTTTTAAATTAACTTTACCACATTTATGCCTATCCACGCGCGTTATTTCATCAGTTCACGTTACATTTTGTGGTAGCTGAAAGCAAATTAAGGTTATTAAAATTATTATTTTATTAAAAACCCTGTGCTCAGAATGGGTTAGAATTTTAAGAGTTCAATTTTCCTTGCCCGCGACCCTCCCCCAATTTGCCTTACTTTCTTGTCGGTTTGCAAAGTTTTATGTTTTGTTATCGATTTTGTGTCTCTTAGATTGACTTTTGTTTTTGCTTGTTTGTTTGTTTGTTTGTTAAGTTTTTGTATACATCACTAATGCTGTGTTTTGCCTTCTTTTAGGATGGCTCAACAGCGCTGATGTGCGCATGCGAACATGGTCATCTGAACATTGCTAAGCGACTGCTGCTGGAGGCTCGCTGTGATGCATCCATTGAGGACAATGTAAGTTACATTCAAATCCGTCACGTGACATTTTCAAGATGCTGTTTAAGTCAAAGCTACTTATCGTATTGAGAGGAAGCTTTCTTCAGCCGATGGCCATCTTGGATTAAAACAAAACTAGCAAAGCCGTTAACAGGAAAAACTTGGCACTTGCCTCATTCATTTTTTTCGCTTTTGTTGTTGTTGTTATTGTGTTACGGCCCGGTACGTCTAATCAATGAACTTTTCCTACGCTTAATGACAAACGTCTTGTTGGTTATTTACTTATACATCTTTATTTGTTATTATTTTATAACAGGAGGGAAGCACTGCCCTATCCATTGCCATGCAGAGAAACTTCAAAGACTTAGCTCTCTTGATATACGGAAATGTTAGCTTTGACCCTATTGGGAAACCTCGGAAGGTATGTAAATGAACACAACGTTAACTTCTGGCTTTGTTGGGAAAGACAGTGAGTCAATACCTTCGTGGAACCTGTGTGGTATTCTCCTCCTCTAGTACGGAACCGATACAAATTTTCCAGCATCTAGAAAAAAAAATGTTGCAAACAAAGCTCGTTTGTCGAAACTTTGGTCTTTGAGGGTTCCTGATGATTTCTGACAAATGAACTCTTGAGTACCCCTGACTGTAAGTAATTAGTCTTTCTTCGCAGACGTTAGTTATTTGTGACGTCAGGAAACGTTTCTCGGCGTGACGAACCACGGAGTAGACTAACTTAAAGCAATGTAGGGGGAAGGGGGCAACTTTTGCATCTGTAATAAGTGTTCGTATCTTACATGAAACTGCGGTCAAACCTCTCCCCAACGGCCACCCTGGAGACAGAGGAAAGTAGCCGCTGTCGAGAGGTGCCTGTTATGGGTAGAAAGGGGTGTAACACAATCAAAATATATCAATAAAACAGAAACCAAACAAAAACAGAGGCCAACAACGCGCGGTACGGATCGCGTTACGTGACCATTTACAATACAAATTTGGGTTTTGTATACCCCGTTCGTCAGTCGTTGGTTAACTGGCCGTTGTCGAGAGGTTATTTTGGCAGCTAGGACAGGCTTTAGTGGCCGTTGCCGCTGTGGAGAGGTTAAAATAAGAGTGAATGTATGGAGTGGCCGCTAGTGGAGGTTCCACTGTAAATATCTTCTTGACATTTTCTCCTTTTTGTTTTTCAGAAAATTGCTGGTCTTCCCTGTAAAGCGTCGTGAACACAAGGCTGTGAACATGGTGCGATGTTCTTTTCCATTTTGTCACGCCAGAAACGTCCATGGGAC